TCATGCTCTCTCGAACTTTAACAAAGTTTCATAGATCTATCAATCGACACTATTTTTTGAAGCTTTGAAATTTATAAATATATATAAAAATATATCTTAAGGCTATCACAAAGATTTTCGATATTAAAACTACATTTCTAGACACTATTTGAAGGTAGGCTCTAATTTGATTATTTAGAGCCTAGGCTCTATACAAACCACACATTTTACTGAATAGAGTCAATTCACATAATTCCCTAAGGAGTACATGATAACGATCAAAATAAGTTTTTTTTACATGATAACCAGAGAAAAATATTTTTATGAATTCAACGAACATGAATAAGTACATGATAACCGGAGAAAAATATTCCTAGGAATTCATGCTGATATTCCTATGAATTCAACTAGTATTCATAACACGAGAAAAATATTCCTATGAATTCATGCTGATATTCCTATGAATTCAACTAGCATGAATACATAAGGATCGCAGCACCAAAATCGGTTCATTTTTTAACATGTGAGGTTGTCTCTCTCATCCTCTCTTTTTTGCCTACATCCTCTCTTTGCCAAAAAAAAAAAAACCTTGAAGTTCTTGTGATGCATATAAAAATCTGGTGACTAGAAAATTTTAATTTTATTTTGTTTTTAGAGATTGGGTAGATTTTTTATTTTATTTTTATTAGAGGTAATTATTTTTTAGAGATAGAATTAATATGAGTTTTTTTAGTTTAGTTGATAAAATTTGTTTTTTATGAGTTGGCTCAGGAAGGTTGAGTTCTATTTTATGGTGTCTATTTTCTTAGGAAAGTTCCTTTCCTTTTTCTCTTGGAGTCTTGTTTTAAAAGCAAATAAGAGATGAGATCGTTTTTGGTAAGAGGGGAGTGGAGGTTAGGTTTCAAAAAGTTTATCTCTTGTATGGGGGTACAAAGTGTTTATCTTCAGTTTTTAGAAAATATATTTTGTTTCCTATTTTAAAGGACTTGTTATCATTTTGTGTTGGGTTGAAAGTTGCAACTAGAGATCACGTAGATAGAAATAATTTAAAATTAAATTTATTTATTTTAGTTATCATTTTTAGTTTTTAGCAGGGAGATATATTAGAGTTATTTTTTGTGATGTAAAATAAGTTCTGAGAGGTTGGACAAGTTCTTTGAGTCTAAAAAATACAAATGGGGGATTGAAATGTGATTAATTAAGAAAGTGTTTTCTGGTAGAGAGAGGGGCGTGTTGTTTCTCTTGAGTTTGTGATCTGTGTTGGTATACTCATTCGCACCTGTTGGTTCTTTTTTCTTGTGATTTGACGATTGAATTTCTATCTTAAAAGTGGTTCTTTTGCGGGGTGATATTCGCCGGTAAATTTTATAGTGAGTCGACTTCTCTCTTTCAACGAACTCTCCAGATACTTTCTTTAGTCTCGCCTTTGATGCACAACTTTCCATATACTCTCTTTAGTCTCGCCTTTGATGCACAACCTTCTTCCATGCAATTCTTTAATTTTTCAACCTTCTTCCATGCAATTCTTTAATTATTCAGTGTTTTAGTAGAAGAATTGAGCAATTTCATCTTGGAGGAACTCTTACTTTGCCAAAGAATGCCAAATAAAGCGGCTATTGTTGAAGTTAGGCAAGCTAATGTGAACAAACATGGCAACTACAATAGTTATGGCAACTAGATATTGAATCTGTCGGTGTCTAATTCTATAATAGGCAAACTTTTTATGCTTTCTATACAACATAGAACTTATATACTTTCCCTCATCCATTCTTTAATTTTTCAGTGTTTTAGTAGAAGAATTGAGCAATTCTATTTTTATGTTGGAGTAACTCTTACTTTGCCAAAAGAAAACAACTATTGTTGAAGCTAGGGAAGCTAGTATGAATACTGAATCTGTCAGTGTCTAATTGTATGATGGGCAAGCTTTCTGTGCTTCCCCTACAATATAAAACTTATATACTTCCCCTTGTCCAACCCTCTATTCTGAATGGATGGCAAAGATTGCCCCAATCACAATATCACGTCTACACTATTTTATTTTTAATTTATTTCTATAAACTATTTTGACACCAAATTTTGGACGTTCAATGCTCTATTAAACTTGCACTAGCAAAAAATATAAAAAAATATTTCCAATAAATAAAATAACCAAAATACCTCTGAAAGTTTTAAAGGGTATTTTAGTCATTATATTTTAACAAAAAATTATTTTTAATATTTTTTTATAGG